GAAAATTGTTTGAAAGAGTTATTATACAGACAGGCCGGTAGCAAGAAATTGTTGCCCCCCCCCCCTCCCTGAAAAATTCAGATGACTTTAATGTCACATAAATGATGCCCGCCGTGAAAAAAACCCTGAGCTAGGTATGGGTCTGTAATACAGATAGGCCAGTTAGTGTTTTTGTCGACTGTCTTTATCATCATATCTGAAGGTTTCATCTCAAACTTGTAAGTGATACCTGTTGACTGTGGATGTATTTACATTGCTCAATTTATACTGACAGATATTTCAAACAATTTGCTTATTAGATGCTTAAAGGTAAGATAATTGATAAATATCATTCTCCAGGCTCATCCTCTCAATTTGCAAAATATTTCTTAAAGTTTTGATAAATTTGAATAAACATCAATACTGAAGACTATAGTCGATGATTATTTATTGATGTAGATGACAAACATACAGGACGATATATAAAAACCCTGGGGTAATATTACAACATTAAAGATGAATAAGATGATTATCCGACCCTGGCAAGAGTCATGCTACCATGTGATGTCTTGGCTTGATCTTTCCAGTTTCTCATGTCAACAATTACTCTCCCTTGAAATTAGGACAGGTTGGGGATGAAGAATCGAGGCACAGAGAAAGATTTTGGTTTGATTTTTCACTGCATTTTATTGTAGCACAGTTGCTTTCCTCTAATCCAAATGCAATTTTATATTAGTATAGTTATGTTGAGATGCATGAAACCATTATTTTCTATTATTAATAATCAATTTTTAACATAGATGTCCTTTTTTATGTCATAATTTCAGTCTCTGATGTTAAAACTAATTTAAAACACTTTCAGCAAATTCTGTTATTTTTCTCTGCAACTTATTTATTTTATGTTAAGATTAATATGTCAACATATTTTACATATAATTTTTGTTTTTAGAGTGAAGGAATGGCACAATCCAACCAAAACCCTCATGCCCCACCCCCACGACGTCCCATGGGTGACCATGGACCACGTCATCCCTCTTCGTCTCAGTCGCACCATTCTAACCCATCTCAGCATGCTAACAAATCCTCTGTTAACCCTTCCTCGCTTAACCATTCTGGCCAGCCTCAACATCAACCGAATCAGGGTCAGTCCCAAAATCAGGTGCTCTCTCAACATCAAGGGCATTCTCAAATGCAGGGTAAACAAGGGCAACTGCAACATCAGGGACCATCCCAACACCAACATTCAGGCCAGCTCCAACATCATGGGCAACCACAGCACCCAGGGGTTCATCAAGGTCAGCCCCAACATTCAAACCAGGTTCCACCACATCAACATCCAAATCAATATCTACAGCATCCGAATCAACCTCCTCATTCAACTCAATCTCAACATATTCCGAGTCAATCCGGACATTTGACTCATTTTTCAAACCAACATCAACGCCCTCATCTTATTCCCAGTTCTCAACATCAACATCAACAGCATCTCTCCCAACAGCATCAACAGCACCCTATGCAACATCAGCTTCCTCCATCCCACAATCAACCATCTCATATTACCAATCCACCCTATCCTCGACACCCGATGCACCCTTCCCATCCACATCTCTTGCCGCCAAATCAGCAGCAACGAATGCCCCCTGCTCAACTTCAGCCAAATACATCCGTCTCTCAGCAAATGTATGGCATGCCACCTCGTCCCCGTAATAGTGTAAGTAGTAGTTTATCTTTTGTTCAGTGACAGCCCACATTTATTTTCTTCAGCAGCCATTTTGAATTTAATGGAACTAAATGAACTCACTGATCAAATTATGAATTTGGATCCTCTTCAGTCGAGAAATTTTCTTTTCAAATTAATTATATATATTATCAGATCAAATAAATGGCTGTCAGCTTTTAGGAACTTTCTATTTTAGTTTTGTATCCTTATTTTTCTACCTTTAACCTGCATGATTTAACATTCCAAATTCTAATAAGATGTTTCTGTAATGAAAGTTGCTGATCACTAGACTCCACATTTTATTTAGCCATTTCATCAGATGAAGGACGGCAATTGGAACCTCCCCTTGACAAAATTTTAAATGACTGACAAAGTCTCTGAGCAAATGCCTGAAAGAACTTTTGTTCTAAAAGTTGTGATAGGAAAAAAAATATTCTTATAAAAGCAGCAAACCTTCTATATGAAACATCTAATTTAAAATTTTAACTCTGCGTGCTATATTTAGCACTTACTACTTTCTTTTTTCATTTTGCTTGACTTCTGTATGCATGTACTTGCTATTGCTTGAACCCTAGTTAATATTATATTGGTTTCAGCTAGTCTTTGGATGAAGGAATGGGTTTTATGGTTGGATTTGGTATTTGGGTATTACGACTTGGTTGAATGGTTGTTTTTTTTTTAGGGTTGTAATGGTGGTTGGGTGTCCTGGGGTTGGATTTGGGTTTGGTTTATAATGGATACTGGGGCTGGGATGAATAATAAAGCAATAAACTGTTACCTTATGGTTATGGCGGTTATGGTCGTATATCAAGACAAAAGTTGGCTGGAAAATTGAATAAATGCGCTTATATTTACGTTTTCAAGACGTTATAATTTTGATACAAAGACTTTGGTATGAATTTAAGTAGGGCCTATTTCTTTATGTTTCAACGTTTGGGACTACTGACATGATTGTTTACATTGGAGACCTTCTATTTGATACAATGACATCAATGAATAACAACGTCATTGATTAAAATTACTACGCCTAATGTTTTGGTGATGAGGCAATTGCATTTATTATGTTATAAGTGCCACACAAATTTGCATCAGTCCAATAGACAAAACTATAGCTAATGTGTTAATGTTATATAACAGACTTAGTCCTTACCATTATTATGAATGGAATCATTTCACTGATGATGGTTTATTGCAGAAATTCACCAAAGGAGAAAAAACCTTTTTACATAGATACAGAATAAAAATGTTCAATAACACATTAGAACACAAAATTAAGTTATACAATATCGAAAGAAAGTAGCTAAAATGTGTATAACAAGTTCAACAAGATTACAAAAAGCAAGTCAGAGGTTTTCAAAATTGGTCTGGATCTTAACAAATGACATCCATTTTGCATCTTGAGCAACATTCAGAGACTTTCCTATACTATATGTCAGACAGAGGCTTGTGATACTCAGACATCTCGGCTGCCCTTCCAGTAATGTCCAGAAAATAGAGCTAAATCAACATCCCTTAGTCAACCCAAGCACAAACAGATAAAATTTTGTTTGCTGTTTTCTTTTACAGTTTAATCTTTTCTTTTTGAAAAAAAAAAAACAGTTCTGCTTCTATTGTGGATTTCTATATTCTGTGATATCTTTCTATATAAAAATTCACCTATGTTTCTGCTAGAAATAGAGTTATTTTATCATCTGTTTGAAAAATATATATAGATTTACCTGTGCATATATTAAGAATTGCTTGCATCCTCAAAACCATTTGATCTTGTTGAGTGGGGGATCCAAAGGTATACATCACGTACAGCCCTGAAAGCAAATTTTTCAGGCAAAAATCTCTTTAATAAGTTAAAAATTCAGGCAATCTTAGATATTTTGCCCCCCTCTGACATCAACTCATCTTGCTAGATTTTAAAACACTAAGCATTTATCTTGGAACTTGACTTTTGAGCTCTGATAGTATCTTGGAATACGTCTCTAATGTTAACTTCTCTCCATGTGAATGTATATTGTTGTTCATCTGTCCTGTCACATTTTAATCCCCTGTGATAACATAATGGCTCCTACAGTTTTCAATCGATTTTCATTAAACTTTATATAAATGATGAACAAAATGAGGATCAGGCGTGAAAGGTTCCTCGTTAAACCTCAGAATTTTAACCCTTTCTGCAAAGTAAAAAGTAACAGTTAAGTTTTGATACTATTCAAACAGTCAGATATCAAAAATGTCTAATATTTCAAAAATTGTCCTAGGATTCACTTAAAAAGGCCAAATTAAGATTTAATTGTATCATAACAGAGTAAATGGAACCAATTTGTTCAGTAAAGGTGCCAAAAACTTCTGAATCTGAACAATTTAGAGATTATATATTTATGTAAACTAGCAGGTATATGGGTCTTAATATAAAAGGTGAAAGTTCATCATTGGTGTTGGTAATATATTAGTAAATGTATAACAAATTCATACTTAGTAAGGGTATGGTATCTACATATATATACTCTGAGGCCTTATTTAAAAAAAACACTAATCTGATTGGATATTAAAGCTAAGTTAAAAATAGATTTCTTTGATTGTCCAATCAGATGACCAGGCACACTAAAATCATAATTTTTGAGAACAAGGCCTCAGGCAAAGTCCTTTTTCATGAAAATACATCCTCCTAAATTTTGATGGTGCTACTCTCTGATGATGACTTGATGATTATAAATGATGGATGTTTGATATTATTCAGAATCAGGTCCATCAGTTAGACGGGGCTGGTGATACAAGTTCATCTGATGATGATGATTTAGATGATGATGAGAATGATGATAACGAGAATGAAAATGAAAATGAAGAAGAACAGGGAGAAGAAGAGGTAAGATTTGACAACGTTGAGTAAATGGATTACACTCATGGTCTTTCTCTCACCAGACTTTCACATGCCGTTCAAGATTATAACCAATGAACACCATTTGTTACACATAACTATGCAAATGATGAAAAATTTTAAAGCTGTATCCTTTAGAACTGCAGTTCAGAGCTACAGTCAATCCTAGTCAGACCACTTGCAGGAAAAATTAGAGCACTTCTATGATTCTAAAATTTGTCTAAGTGCCATGGAACATAATGAAGCGTTGCACCATCTTTCAACGGGGAATTATAACTTTGAGGGTATTATAACTTTGAGGGTATTATAACTTTGAGGGTATATCACCTATTTTTTACCAACACAATGCTGATATAATGTATACTGGAGTACACTGATGCGAACTGAGAAATTAGACCCCCTCTTAATCTCAGTCCGTCAATCATTGATTATTTTCAGGAACCATTAAATACAGATGATGATATCAGTGAAGAAGATCCTAATGATTTATTTGATACTGACAATGTTGTAGTGTGTCAGTATGATAAAGTAAGTTATCTCCCTTGATCTCACTATTGCGAAAGCTACTAATAATGTTTAAGCCTTTCTTTCCCTTGCATCATATTACGCCACATAGAGCGGTTGCCCCAGCAGTTGGTATAGCAGCCGTTTCCAAGTGACATCACACAACGTAACAACATACACTTTTATAAGTTATATTGTTTGAAGTTCAGGGTATATGACGTTTTATTTTATTTATACTCAGTGTTTAAAGGGTTTAAGAGCATTGTGATGACATTTTAGTTATCAATTTAGTTTTAGTGTAATTGCAAAAGCGACAAACTGAGATTTGTAAATTAAACCTTCATTATAATTTTCGCTTCCAGATAAACAGAAATAAAAATAAGTGGAAATTTCATCTGAAAGATGGTATTATGAATCTACGCGGTAAAGATTATGTGTTTCAGAAAGCCAATGGTGAAGCAGAATGGTAGTTGTTTGTGGTATTGACCTATTTATTTCTCTATAACTTTGTGTTTGTGACCGATCTGGTTTAGCCTTAAAGATGTACACTCTATTGCTACAAAACATTTTTGTGGTTAAGAAATGGGTGAAAGGATGATCTAAATCATTTAGAATCTAACGCCGAGTATAATGTCATGTGATTGTGAAATTCTAAACCATTAATTTGTGACTTAATAGAAAATTTAGTCCATTCTGATTGGATGAAAAAGTGGGTTAGGTTGTCAGTTTACTTCTTGACCTAGGCCATTGTTTCTCTGAAGTATTTACCAAGTGACCTAGTTGGTCAGTGTGTACCAACCTTGGATTTCAAACCACGGAAGATGGTCTTATGTGTTTGTGACATATCTTTACAAGGTCTAATATTTTTATTTTTTGTGTATTTGTTTTGATATGTGTATTTGTTTTGATATGTGTATTTGTTTTGATATGTGTATTTGTTTTGATTCAGGACTGTTTATATTATGTTATTTTGATTTGTGTAATTTATTTCTTTTTCAACAACTGACTTCCCCCATGGACAAAAAAACCTGGCCTGGAAATCAAAAAAAAATAAGGTAGTGCTGCTATCCTAAGAAAACTTTCCTAATTGCACACTGCATGACAAGGTTGCTATGGTTTCTCATTTTCCGAGATATTCCTGAACTTTGGAGGGTATTGTGTATAATTGCATACTTTTGAAGCCCAGGTTATGTCTTGTTTGTATTTTGTGAAGTGTTGTATATAGAAGTTGTATTTTGTAAATATGTATAAAATCAAACTGTTGCCATGTTTATTAACTATTCAAAATATTGTATGAACATTATATATTCAACTTGCTCATATGGTTATTGATAGTTGAATATTGCATTCAAACTGATTCTAATGTATCAAACTTTTACTTATTGTTTGTGGTGGATCTAAAAGTGTTTCTAGTTATTTCAGTATGGTATCTAAACTATTCAAAATAAAGATAAACTTGATTTGACATCCCACAATGTCCTATAGAACTCCTAAATGATAATTCTATTCAAGCAAATAGTATTTATTGTAGATGAATCTTCACTGTTACAGGACCTTTATACTAAGATTCTATTGAAGCCAAATAGTATTTAGATAATCACATCTTAATCTGGTGAAATATCTCTATAATAGCCATACATTGTTGTAAATTCATTATTGTCATTTTTTGTATATAATACATGTAAACTATCATAATGTTAAAATACATAATTTTGTATATATGGACTTGAACTGTATTCGATACATGAGAAGTTGAAAGTTTCCTACTTGGAAGTTGTTATTCTGCTTAGTGCGTATTTGGTATTTTTGTTTTGACACTATAAAGAAAGTTGCCCAAAACTTGTGCAATGCCTAATAGTTTCACTGGTTTCGATATCTTCCCATTTTCTGAGAGGTAACAAATACAACATTAAGGATAAATAAGGACACAATAGCTGTGTAAAACTCAAGTCTTGTATTTTCAATGATAAATCTACAATTATAGATTTATATTTAAAAGTAAATGTTGTGAATTCTTGTCTTTTATTATGAAGTGTAGCTTGATCTTTATTTTTCTGTAAAGTGTGTATTTTGAAGTATTGTGAAGGAAAAAGGAAGATCTGTCCAAGCTTTGAATTGCTCAACTAGAATTTATCCAAGCTATTAGTATACTGGATGATGTTTGAAGTAATAAACTCTATATTAATTCTTACTGTTGAGTTGATGACAATATATGTAAATGAAAACTATTTTTGTAATTATAATAACAATGTATCTAGTCTTACATGATGATTTACAATAAAATATCATCATTATATCTTGTATTTATTTCCTTATTCTTATGTTTGGATACATCCTTGGAGTTGATAGAGTACATCTCTGGAAATTTGCTCTTAGGCAAAGGTAAGGTCCTATGAGTTGTGAAGTTGTGATCTTGTCTAAAGTCATGGCTTTTTCTAGGGTTGACACCTTGTGCTTGCTTGTCTAAAGTCATGGCTTTTTCTAGAGTTTGGACCTCGTGCTTACTTGTCTAAAGTCATGGCTTTGTCTAGAGTTGGGGCCTTGTGCTTCCTTGTCTAAAGTCATGGCTTTGTCTAGAGTTGGGACCTTGTGCTTCCTTGTCTAAAGTCATGGCTTTGTCTAGAGTTGGGGCCTTGTGCTAACTTGTCTAAAGTCATGGCTTTGTCTAGAGTTGGGGCCTTGTGCTAATTGTCTAAAGTCATGGCTTTGTCAGGGATTTGGTATCGTTCTGCGTAAGGCCGGGGTATTGTGCTCTGTCAGTTTAAGGTCAAAGAATTTTCCTTGTTATGACAAAAAAAGCGTCAACTTCAAAGGTGTTAAAGAAAGAGGAATGCAAATTAAAAAAAACATACATTTATCCAAAATAAAAATGCCCAATAGGTTATATAAAAATATAAATATTCCATCTCAAAATATAAACAGTATTCCGTCAAGTTATAATTCCATTTTATTCTCTGTTTTGTTTAGAGTTGAAACAGCCTGTTAAAAGTGTAAAAGGTCGAGTTACTCTTTTCTTTAAATCTTGTAAACTTCGTCTTAATCTTTGAAATCTTGATGGTTTCTTTTCTGAAATGATAAAATATTTCATATTCTGAAACAAATTACTCAAAGAGATATTAGGTGGAGATTTTTGAAAAATAAAGACTTTTGACTCTCTTTATGGGATGTTGAGATGGCTAACCCAGAATAGCATCAGATGTTCCGTAAATGTGGGCATGTCCTTCCTTGCTGGTGATACCATCACAGTATTTATTATAGACAAAGGCTCTCGCATTCAGTTATCGGACCTGGACTCAGTTTTTGGATCTGGACTCAAGAATATATTGAAGAATGACCTCGGGGATAGTCTTGTCCACTAGCCGTGTCAGATGGAAACTTAATAAATATTTCAGAGTATACTAACGTTTTATGTTTCCATTCCCTTCTGTGTTATCTAAATGGACATCCGGGACTTTCATAACGTCTTTGGATTCATCTTTAATGTCAGTGGAATCACTGTGAACCTCAGGTCTGTTGATAACGTATTTGGAGAAATCCAGAGCAGGTATCTGTGGTATAACATACTGTGATAAATCTAAATACAGATTCTTTTGTCGTAATTTCTTCACCAGTCCGTCATCAGATCCGACTGGAACATTCTCAGACGTTTCTGTTTCCGTTTTCGTAGACTGCAGTAGACGTAATGAACCATTAGTCAAAACGGGTGACTTTTCACTACGTGTATCATTCCCATGTCGTGTTGCTGGATCTCCAGAGCTTGGTTCATCATTTCTGGACGCGTCCAATTGTAGATTTTGTCTTGCAAAATCTCTCATCATTTCAGCTGGGCTCCGTCTAAACATTCCTACTTCAGGAACTTCTGATTCAGATGGAAATTTTGAAATTATCGTAAACATGACTACTGAAAGAAAAGAAACAATCGAAGATTTCAGTAAAATGTTTCTTAAAATTTGAAATTGACTTGTGTAGAATGAGATATGGTAATTTTCAAAATACTTTTTCAAGATATAAAGTTAACAAAAGTTTCTAAAACACCAAGGACATAAGATTTTCAAAACCGTTCGAAGTGTTACAAAAACATCAAAACCTTGGACGAAATTTCTAAAATAACAGGAACACAATAAAGAAATGTTAAAAACTCACCTTAATTCACAAAATTCTTGAAAATTATCAGGATTATTTGATAATGTTGTCAAAATTGTGAGGGAAAGTGAAAATTCTGCCGTTTCTGTAGAACTTCAGAACAATCAGTGATGACAATCGATATGACGTCATAGGAACAATGCCTTGACGCTATCCAGATTTCGAAGTATTTTTTGGTCTCTCTTCGTTTGGAATAACAAAACTTTATTCTTGAATTATACTAGGAACCGCAGTGGCAAATTTATACTAGCTATAAAGATTAAAGACACCTCGAAATCATAAAATCGGAAGAGAGTTACTTCCCTACTGTAGCCTAGATTGATGCCACTGGCCTTAATATTGTTATTCATTGTACACTGTGTAGCGTTAACAGTTATCATTCATCCAAATAAGAGCAGTCATGGCCATGTACCTGCCTTGTCTCAGGTACTTGTTATCGCTCTGTTTAAGGTCAAAGACTTGTTATTGTTTTGTTCAAGACCAGGGACTTGTGATCGCTCTGTCTAGGGCCAGGGACATGTAATAGTTCTGTCTAAGACCTTTGAATTGTGATCACTCTGTCTAGGGCTAGGGGTTTGTGCATTTTATCTAAGTCAAGGGCAATATCTCAAAAACTATTCATCGAAAAATCCTCAAGATCTCATCAGTATAGATGATGACACCAAATTTCAAAAAAATCAGTTGAAAACTGTAGTCTTTTCTATTCATAAACAAATATTGACGCGTTTTTCTTAAGTCAAGGGCAATAACTCAAAAACCGTTCATCGAATTATCGTCAAATTCAAACTTGACTAGGATCTCATCCATATAAAGGATCACACCAAATTTCATTAAAATCAGTTGAAAGCTGTTGTAATATTACTATTTTATCACTTTATACGTACGTGGTATTTGTGGTCTAAAACTTAGCTCAGTCTTGACAAGAGTCATCTTTCTGTTTAGAACTCTTCTTTCTAAGAGAGTAGAAAAGTTATTAATTTTCATAACAATGAAGTCCTCCACTTCATTTTTCTAGAGTTGGGATTTTGTGCTTGCTTGTCTAAAATCATGGCTTTTTCTAGGGTTGGGACTTGTGCTTACTTGTCTAAAGTCACGGTTTTGTCTAGAGTTGGGGCCTTGTGCTTACTTGTCTAAAGTCATGGTTTTGTTTAGAGTTGGGGCCTTGTGCTTACTTGTCTAAAGTCATGGTTTTGTCTAGAGTTGGGGTCTTGTGCTTACTTGTCTAAAGTCATGGTTTTGTCTAGAGTTGGGATCTTGTGCTTACTTGTCTAAAGTCATGGCTTTGTTTAGAGTTGGGATCTTGTGCTTACTTGCCTAAAGTCATGGTTTTGTCTAGAGTTGGGATCTTGTGCTTCCTTGTCTAAAGTCATGGCTTTGTCAAGAGTTGGGGCCTTGTGCTTCCTTGTTTAAAGTCATGGTTTTGTTTCGAGTTGGGATCTTGTGCTTACTTGTCTAAAGTCATGGTTTTGTTTAGAGTTGGGATCTTGTGCTTACTTGTCTAAAGTCATGGTTTTGTCTAGAGTTGGGGCCTTGTGCTTACTTGTCTAAAGTCATGGTTTTGTCTAGAGTTGGGATCTTGTGCTTACTTGTCTAAAGTCATGGTTTTGTCTAGAGTTGGGATCTTGTGCTTACTTGTCTAAAGTCATGGTTTTGTCTAGAGTTGGGATCTTGTGCTTACTTGTCTAAAGTCATGGTTTTGTCTAGAGTTGGGGCCTTGTGCTTCCTTGTCTAAAGTCATGGCTTTGTCTAGAGTTGGGGCCTTGTGCTTCCTTGTCTAAAGTCATGGCTTTGTCTAGGGTTGGGGCCTTGTGCTTCCTTGTCTAAAGTCATGGCTTTGTCTAGAGTTGGGGCCTTGTGCTTACTTGTCTTAAGTCATGGTTTTGTCTAGAGTTGGGGCCTTGTACTTCCTTGTCTTAAGTCATGGTTTTGTCTAGAGTTGGGATCTTGTGCTTCCTTGTCTAAAGTCACGGTTTTGTCTAGGGTTGGGACCTTTGTGCTTCCTTGTCTAAAGTCATGGTTTTGTCTAGAGTTGGGATCTTGTGCTTCTTTGTCTAAAGTCATGGTTTTGTCTAGAGTTGGGATCTTGTGCTTCCTTGTCTAAAGTCATGGTTTTGTCTAGAGTTGGGATCTTGTGCTTACTTGTCTAAAGTCATGGTTTTGTCTAGGGTTGGGACCTTTGTGCTTGCTGTAGCTTGGTAATCCTTGCATTTATCAAAGGTGTAATTCAAAGACGTATGTAAAGCTGGTTTATCAAAGAAGAATGCTAATTAAGAAATATACTTTAATCCAAAATAAAAATGTCCAATAGGTTATATAAAAATATAAATATTCCATCTCAAAATATAAACAGTATTCCGTCAAGTTATCAATTCTATTTTATTCTCTGTTTTGTTTAGAGTTGAAACAGCCTGTTAAAAGTGTAAAAGGTCGAGTTACTCTTTTCTTTAAATCTTGTAAACTACGTCTTAATCTTTGAAATCTTGATGGTTTCTTTTCTGAAATGATAAAATATTTCATATTCTGAAACAAATTACTCATGGGAAGTATAAGGTGAAGATTTTTGAAAAATAAAATCTCTCCTTATGGGATGTCGAAATGGATAACCAAGATGTGGGCATGTCCTTCCACCGTCACAGTATTTATTATAGACATTCAGTTATCGGACCGGACTCAAGAATAT